GTTTAATTTGAAAGAACTTTATTAGTGGAGTATGCATACCAAAGAACTTTATTCGATAATAACCAATATTTGCCCCCCAAATCAAACTTTGATGGAGATATATTTAATTAATTTCTTAAACAGGGGAGTAAATGCTGACTTCAAAGCACTGAATATTTTCATAAGTAATGACGTCATATGTACGTATTGACGTCAAAAACATGACGTAAATTTCAGTTTTTTATGAATTTTACAGAAAAATGTACATATTTCGTCGATTTTTTAAGTAAAAGTCACCGAGCGCATGTGTGTTCAGGATCAATATTTTGATATAATGTGTACAATGATAATTTCAATGAAATATGTCAATATTGTTCCTGAACAAACTTGCGCTCTATAAAATTTAAAGCTAAAATTGTTGAAATTTTGTCCATTTTGTCCTCTTTCTGAAAAAGGATATAAAATCGGACTAGTTTGTGACGTCATAAAAACAAAATTTGTGAATACACTGTTTTGAAACTATAATATTTTCTGTTAATTTATATTTCTCATATAATTTATTGAATTCAGCACATTTCAGGAAGTTTTCAAAATTTGACTTTTGTGGGGGCAAATATATGCAATATACCGCATATAGTTCTTTGAAATCTCTATCTTTCATGGTTCAAAAGTTATGGCGAAGGTTAAAGTTTGCAGACAAACAGACAGACAGACAGGACAAAAGCAATATACACCCCCGATCTATCGATCTGGGCGCATAAAAATAAAATTCATTTGGTTTTTCTAAACATTCCGTTTTTTTGATTTAATATTTGTTGCATCAGGTCCTTTTTTTGTGGGCAGAGGAAAAATGACTTACATCAATCTATTGAAAACAAACAAGCATTCTCCATACTTCAAGCTTCAGTGCAGTTCTCTATTTCAAGAGATGGTTTGACAAGAATTCACCTTAACTTACCAATGTAAAAAAAATATGTCTTAGTTTGGGGCACAGGGTGGGATATTTTACCTTTACTTACCGATATAAAGAAATAGGTCTAAGGTTGGGGCACAGGGTGGTTTTTTCCCCCTTCACTTACCAATATAAAGAAATGTCTTTAATAGGTTGGGGCACAGGTTGGTTTTTTCCCCCCTTCACTTACCAATATAAAGAAATGTCTTTACTGGTAGTAGGTTGGGGCATAGGGTGGGTTTTTTTTTCCCTTCACTTACCAATATAAAGAAATGTCTTTAATAGGTTGGGGCACAGGGTGGGTTTTTTTCCCCTTCACTTACATATATAAAAAAATGTCTTAGGTTCGGGCACAGGGTGGGTTTTTTCCCCTTCACTTACGGATATGAAGAAATGTCTTAGGTTCAGGCACAGGGTGGGGGATTTCACCTTCGCTTACCGATACAAAGAAAAACATAAGCTGAGGCAGAGTGGCATATTTCACCCTAACTTACCGATATAAAGAAAAACATCTTAGGCTGGGGCACAAGGTGGGATATTTCACTGATAATTACAAATACGTCTTAATTAATTGGTACAGAGTAAGATATTTTACCTTTACTTACCGATATAAAGAAAAATGTCTTAGGTTGAGGCACGGGGTGGGGAATCCTGTAGTCAGTATGGTCATCAGGATCCTGTTTTATTGGGGGTGGCATTTTGTAAATATCTGGAATTCGTTCAGTCTGCAAAAAAAAAAACAAGTACAATTTTAAGTCATGCTTTTTTTTAAATTTAACATAAATAATAATCCAAGTAACATCAACAGGGTATTGAGGTGAAATATAAATTATAAGTTGGTTTTATACTGTAACTTGAGCAACTGCAGATAATTTTCCTAATTTTAAACTTTTGACTTAAAAATCAAAATTAAACATTTTTTTTTTTGCTGTCAGATATACTGAAGCTTCAAATCAGCATGACAAAGAGATAAAAATCAAAAATATCAATTTATTTTTTCTGATTGATCCAGATTAAAGGCCAATACTGTATATTTCTAAATATATGAAAAGAATTAATTATTGAGTAATTTCATGAAAAGCACATCTCACTAAATATAAATTCTCAGTTTTAATTTTAAATAGTGAAAATCACTTATTTACTTAGTCTTTATCAACAGACCATATGCAAAGTAATTTCTTGCATTTTGAAATTTTCATTCATATTACTAATTGAGTATTCTCTGTAAATAAGTGATCTACAGTAGTTAAATAATGCTTGAAAATGGATCTGCTCAAATAACTTTATTCTGATCACTTATTCAGAAAAAAAGGTCAAACACAGCATCCAAAGCAAGTCTGGTAGTTTGCATCCCAATATGTATCATCCATGCAAATTCTCTCTCAAGTACATCTTTTGGGAACTTGTGAATGGACCTGCTCCAAAAACTTTAACCTTGTCAATCAATGACACTCTTTCAGAAAATGTCTATCATATACGACAAGTAATTTGAAATGGAAAATGTTACTTTGAAATTTCTAGATTCCTCAATAGAAAAGGCTTACAGTTAGACTGAAAAAAAAATGCCCCAAACTTTGGAATACATCATGTACATGTAATTGTAACCTTTACTTCAGAATCTGTGATTGAGAAAAAGAGAATAGTTGATACCTCCTCTTCACTGGCAGGTGCTGACTCGGGCTCTGGGGCGGGGGAGTGGGGGGGAGGCTCTCTACTGTGTGGGTTGTTTTTCAGCCAAGCGCGACAAATTGGGTAGAGTGGAGAATCTTCATCAAAGACCGCTAAGTCCACACTGCGATCAAACAGCTTCATAATGTATGTGTCTGTCAACAAAATGTTCAGACTAATTTAGACATTCTTGACTCGGTAGATTATTTTGCAATTTTTATATTGCAATGTTTTGTTGAAATGATTTGCATACAGGTATTTCTCATGTGTTTGACTATTATACATCTGCTTTAACAACATTTTGTATTTTTGTTTGTGTGTTTTTATAAACTTAAGTTATATTACCTATAATCCATAATTGGGTAGTAATTATTTATACATCAATTCTTACGCTGGTATTGTCCGGGCTCGTAATCAGAATCGTCCTTTGCTCGCTTTCTTTTTCTCCCTCTAGTGGTAGACGCACGCTTACTTGGAGACTGCATTGGAGATGGCTCACTAAACATAGAAAAAGTCCTCAAACATTAAAACATTGCAGTCCAAATCAATATTCCCTTCTTTTCAATACACATTAACATTACAATCATAGTGGAATGCTTATATACTGTAAACCAACTTTTATTCACGTGCGAGAAATTTTCGCGAAGTTCGCGAGAGCGAATATTTCTTGCCGCGAACCAGTCCTTAAAGTGCATGTGTCTAAAATTAATAGATCCAAAAAGGCCTAATAGCAAAAATTAATCATCGCAAACTAGTTTATCCCTAGTAAATCGCGAAATAAAGTCGTCGCAAATAAAAGTTGGTTTCCAGTAGTCCAACAACTTGCATACCTGAGACAAATATCAATTTCACCGCCTTCATCACTAGATTCTTGCCTGTAAATAAGATCAAAATGAACATTAGAATATCCTTGTCTTAGCAAGTATCAATATATATTCATTTCTCTGATCATGAAAATTGTTATGATGAACGTGTACACTGTTAGACAACTTATATTTACATATATATGTACCTTTAGAGATTTATGAAAGAATTCTTTTTTAAAATGTTCAAATAAAAACCAAACTTAATCAAATTAAGAAAGTACAATCATAAAGAAAAGTATTTCCTGCATAGAAAGCTGACTTTTATGATTTCAACTTAAAATTTCAAAACTTTACATTTTGTATATATTTTACTCCAATCTAGATCAAGGTCCTTGACTACTATAAGCAAACTTTCTATGAGTTCAACTTTACTCTGAGTTTCATCAAAAATGTGAAAAAGATTTTTACATTTACAATAGTTAAATTTATAGAATATACTAATTTGGAAAGAGAACCTTATTATAATTATAAACATGATAAAATTGTAATATATATATAACAACACAGGCCATTTAATTTTAAAGGCTACACAAAAACAATATTTGACATATTTTGAGTACTTCTATTCAATCTGGCATATCACTGCTGCTGAAGAAGGCATAACATTTTTGTATGTTGTTGTTTTTTTTATAACAGTGATTTTATCTGGTGTATGAATTTAATGGTGTTGATCTTCATTTCCTGACTAGACGTATGCTTAATTATCTCTGAATTCTACTCATTTTCACTTACCCCTCATCTCTTTTGTCCACTAAAAGTTGTAATGTGGCATCAAATCTATTTCTTGCTGAGACAACTTCAGCCAAGTCTGCAATATAAAGAATCATGTCATTAATTAAAGCAATACACTTCTTGTAACATGTGTAACAAACTGGTAGTCTGTTTTCCAAATTTTGTAATTTCCTTCAGGCGCAGCACTGTTAAGGCTTACTATGAGAAATCAACAGAAAATAGAAGTGCAAAAATGGACATTGTTTTTAAAATTGAATTCATTATCATTCAGCTGTTTTATTATCACAGAACTTAAATACTTATGGAAATAGCATAATATAACCTACTCTGTACTGTATGAATTTTGGTTCCATCAATGGACAGTAATGTGATGAATGCATAGTTCGTGTACTGAATGTAGGTCATTAACAAAGTTCAATATTGCAAGGGCATACCCTATTTGAAATTAAAAATTCAAGCTATTAATTGTTTCTGTATACTTTGTTTTTCCTGGAAAGTGCTGCTGCTTTGAATAGAATTCGTGTTTTAATAGTTAAAATTTCAAGTAAATAGGCCTATGTCGAAAAATGGTTGACTTTTACCAAATATTTTGTGTACTTTTAAATTCACGCTCTCGATTTAAAGAAAGCAGCAGCACTTTTCAAGTTAAGGAAAATATCCTTTATTAATATTCAAAACATCGTTAAGATTTATTTAGTGTATGCCCTTGCAAAAGAACAATTTTATGAGGCACCTTGATGTAAAATATACCTAACCCGAACATAAATACACGTACAAAATTATTTAAATAAATTCTCTTGATAGTTAATGAATAATCGCACTAAAAAAAGGATATGCATTGGTATTTATCGACTATTTAAAACCTGTAAATAACATTTTGTTTTATTCTGAAATGCATTTTTCATTGTTAAAATATTCCTCAATCTGCTTCTC